CATTTCCATTTCACACACATGTCGTAAATTAGGTGACTAATTGCCTTTTGAGAGTTTGACCCAAAGATGTGAAATACTACAGTTGGGGATGTGTGTGTGAAGGAATGAGTTCATGTCTTCCACAGTTCAATCTAATTTAACACTAAATCATCTTTTCCTTGACCAAGAAATAGGAGTCAGGTGCTCTGGGTTCTATTTCTGCAGTGGTTTCAGACCTGCTGCTATTAGGTTGGGTTTCTGCATTTGTAGTAAAGCTGGGTACTACTTTTCCCTCAAAGGAAACTTATTTTAAACCTTAAAATATCCAAGATAATTATTTTTTGTGTTGTTGGATTTTTTTTAATGCTTTTTTTCCTACATACTTTGGCTAGTTAGTTAGACCTTGAACAATTATATTCAGGAGAGGTCAGAGTGGAAAACAGATGGCAATTTTTGCATTTAGGAAATTACTGTCTGGAAAAATTAATACAGCAGAGAGTATAAAAGTATTAATTGATGCAGAATGCATTTCAAGGAAGAAGCATGAGCAAAAACCTGGAGGAGGATTTCTGTGGCTCCAGTTGGGTGTTGGTCCTTCTCAGTGGCTCACCTACAGTCCTAGCCAAAATAGTGTATGCAAGGGTGCGCGCGGCGTAACCTGAGTCACACAGCACCCAAGGACAATGTTCTGGAGGGTATAATTTTTCAGGGAAGTCAAAACATAATGATCAGAGTATGTTTATCAGAAAAACAAAGGAACTAACAACATTTTTTTTTTTCCAGTGGTATGGAAATACAACTGGGAAACTAAGAAAGTAATTTGCTAGGGTAATCTTTCCATGGAATGAGAGGCCCCATGAACAATTATAAAAGTTGAAGACCACATACAATGACAACGTTCCTCCACTGCCAGAACAAAAGATGAAATGGTTACCTCTGTTTCGTTCTCAGCCACATGACTGTGGGAAATTGAGAAGCAACTCATGTTCAGAATGCTGACGTTTCGGACAACGCTCTGATTTCTGTTACAGAAGGGAGGAGAGAGAAATAGCAGTATTCATTTTCTCCTTCCTGATTAGAAAGTTCAATAATAAAATGGGGAGTTTGATGCTGGAATGGTTATATTTGGGGTTCTCTTCCTCCCAAATTAATTAGAAAAAAGAGCCATAGTTCAGAAAGGCAACAACAATGGAGAACTCCGATTTTCCATTACTTAATCTAACATAATGAAGTGCTGCTTTTGATTTTGCCAAAACTTTGATGGGAAAAAACAAGCAACTGAAGCTGCCTGTTTAGACTTAATATGAAAGCCTGCTGCAGAGCCTCCAGCTAGCTACAAGCAACACCTAATTCAGTTTTTTAAAAGATGTGCAGTAAGGAAATGCCACTTTTAACCCATTGCAATTAAGTGTATGCAGATAAGAAAAGGACCGGGAGGGAAAGGAGGACAACCCTCAGCAAAATTAAGCTGTTGCTTGTGATTGCTGGTTTTGAAAAGAGGAAGAAGCAGCGGTAACTCCTCTCTGAAATCACCAGAACTGTTCCCTTTTTCTTTCTCTTGGGGAGGGCAGCCCCATAAGGCAGATAAAAGGGAGGGACCCTGCCTTACTTAGGGTGGGACTTGATAAGCTGGGGGCAGAGTCAGGCAGCGGCTCCTCTCCCTGCCACCTACCCGGGGAGCCTGCTGTATGGAGCTGGGGGAGCAGCAAAGGGAAGGAATAGAAGGAGATGTGACAAGAGAAAGTAGGTACTGTTTGCCAGCTGGTTTCGGGTTTTTCTGTGCTTTATGTCTGACGGTGTGGGATCCCCTGTTTCGATTAAGAAGGCTAGCAAATTTTAGGTAGCACTGTTTGCAACTGCTGGGTAGCCAGCCTTTGCTACAAGCACTTGGCTAGGCTGCCTCAGCACCCTAAAATGAATGACACAGAGGGAGTGTACTTCTCATAGGTGTTTCTTATGTTCTTGTTGTGGATTGACTGGGATGAAGGGCTTTGTGTTTTAACTTTCCTGTTTGGTCCCTCCAGCTTCTCATTGTTAAGAGAAGTGAGGAGGGAAAGGAAGTATTTCTCTCTCTGTTGTAGGACTAATGTAGAAATGCATCAGTCCAGCTTACCATAACCAGTGTTAAGAAATGGGCACATTGTAACAAGTCCACTATTCTATGTAAATATTTTGTGGAATAACTTAGAGGGCTGTGTTCAGATGTACTACCATGGGAGTTCATCCACTACACATGAGGATCTTTAAGTATCAACAAAAAATAAGCTTCATTTAAAAAGAGGGGGTGAAGGCTGAGGTGCTCTCTCTCTAAATTACTCTATTCTCCTGGGGCTAAAGTAGCTCAAAATGTGGGAGTGAGTCTCCTCTGACAGAGGAGCAGCCAGCTGCAACTCCTAGGCATGTGGGATTTATATTGCAGATACCACGGTACATTACATATGACATTACAGACATAATTTTGATATTAACAACAGCAGTGCTTTCAAGTTAGTCACCTCTCATGATACTTTTAATGTTCTCATATTTTCATAATATTTTCATATTTTCATTTTAGTTAAGCATTTTAAATAAGGAAGCTTTTTATGACAACGTGTAAGAAATGAGGCAGTACAAAAAAATGACACTTCAGAGAGACAGCTGCTCTCAGTCTCACAAAATGATTAATATTGCTGCTAAGTATCTGTGTATTAACAGCAATTTAAATCTGCTCCATGAAATATATCTTGATCTATAAGAGCTTTATTTTCTAATCTATTTGCTCTAGGTACTTGCTTAAGAGTAGCAAAGTTAGCAGCCAGCATTAAATGGCTTGAAGAAAATCAAGAATCAGGCCAGGAGTCTTTGATCCTTTCCCTTGTAACAATATTAACCTCCCAGTGACAGTTACCGTTAATGGCATCCTCCTTTTTACACTGGAGAAAAATTGTTCTGGAGTACTGTGGACTGCAAGATCAAATCCCATGAGGTGACTGAAATAATTTAGTCAAGTCTCAAAATCCTTCTGTAACATTGACATGCTAGATAAGATCTCTTGAGGTGTAGGTGTTTCAAATCCTCAATTGCGTGTGTTTTAGGCAACAGCAAGTTTATAAATTCCGGGAAACTTTCACAGTTCCACCTCGAATCAGGACACTTCAAGAACTGCTCAGCTTAAAATAATATCATGGGATCAGCTCTAAAGACAAGTCTGCTGCTGTACTAGTGTTGCACTATTTAAATAGTTTTAAGCTTCCTTCTTAACAAATGGAACTTTGAATCTTAGTTTTCTTTCTTCCTTCAAAAGTCTTAACTTCTTTTCTTTCCCAACCTCCTGTTACTTCTGCTGTCTAGCATGTGTCATTGTCTAATATGTTTTTCTGATTTAATTTCAGAGACTGTGAGTGACAGCAGATGACAGGCTGACAGCTGAGGCTTGTGTCAGAGAGAAGCTCTGTGATAACAGCAGAACGTTATCTTATCAGCTGCTGGAGAACACCCTGGGCAGGGAGGACATACAATACCTTCTTCATGATTTTAAATATTGATCAGGGTTAGTAATACCTGTGCGTTGTTACAGAATATCCTGGGATAGTGAAGAAACTGTTGGGCACCCCGTGTATAACTGCTGTGGAGAAGTTCAAGGCTCCACTTCCCAGCTTAGCAGTCTGAATGGAAATAGGAAATCTGCAGCATTGCTGGAAGTCAGAGGGAAATTAAGCAATATGCAGTATTCTTCCGTGGCAGTGGATCCAGAAACCTCGGTGAATAATGGGTCCGGGATTCCCCGCAGCCCTAAGGAAGGCACAAAGACTGCAACCTTGACAGAAAATGAAGTCTACAGGGCCTGTACAACGAAGTGTTTCCATAGCCGTTATTTAACTAAAACTAGTACGCAGGGAGATGTCTACAACTTCCTGGAGAGGCCCAGTGGATGGAAGTGTTTTATCTATCATTTTACTGTGTAAGTACCTACATTTTCACATAATCTTTGGTGTAAGAAAAATCTGAAACTGTCCACTTATTCAGTCAGAAGTTGTAGTACTTGAGCTCCTGCGCTGGAAACCTCTTGCATGAGTAATCCTACTGAAAGCAATGGAAAAGCCAGTTTCTCAATATATCAGCCGCTGTATCCATTAACATTTCCAGAGGAGGGCTTTTTTTTCTTCACATGATATTTATCTTCAAAGATGTACACTCTGTCTTTTATATTTCTGAGGGGAAGTCCTATATACTTATGGCAGTTTTTATTACTGCTTTAGCTGCTTTACGTTGTTCTAGCTTCAGGCACTGCAGTTTTTAGCATGAGATGTGGAAGGTTCAGCTGTGATCAGATACGTCACATTTTTGTAAGTCCATTTTGCTCACGCTGAAGTGCCAAACCAAGTAATTTCTTGGGCAAATATATAATCATATCATTACTAACTTGAATTAATTTACAGTCTTGAACATATAATGAGTACAAATTTAGCAAAAAGTCTTTCATTATACCATGTATGTAGTACATGCAAGGAAAAAATTAAGGCTTCCATTTACCCTTTGTAAAACAGAGGTTAATATATTAATACAGCTGTTACTATTTTCTTTGAGCTGCTTATGTTATCTGTCAAGTTTAGCAAGATCTCAATTACTGTTTTGAATGCTGCTTAACAGGATGATAATTTGTCATCTTAGCTGTAGAAAGGGTCCAGTTGTGCTCTCACTGAAGCAAAAGAAGTTATAATGGCTGTAGTGAATGCAAACTGAGCCAAAAGTCCTTGCTTTTATTATAAAATTAGCATACGTCCTAAAGAAATGCAGAGTGTTGAAATTATTCTGTTTGTCTCGGATGAACTTTTCTATGGCCTGACTGCATTTTGGAAAAACCATTATCAGTTACTGTACTCAGGAACTGCCCAGAGAAATATATGGTAATTATAAGAATGAATTATAATGCTTCTGTTTGACATAAAATAGATGGTCTTATAAATACTCGCTTCCTTTCACCCCTCAAAATCATGTATGGATTTTTTTAAAAGGATTTTTAGATTCATGAAATTTTGCCAAGTAAAAGGATAGGGCCTCTTTCGAGTACTATGCTTATAGTATAGAATAATTCTGAAGGCTTAAACAGATGTCATTTGTATAGATTTAAATATGTGAATAGTCATGATTTAAACCTATTTGAGGTTAGGACTTAGTAATCTTGCTTAAATGCATTTGTTTCATCATCTGTGTTGCTTTTATCTCAGACTAAGGTTGACCTTTAACATATATTTATATTCTGCAATGAGCATTTTAAAAAAAAAAAAAATTATACCACACACACCCTCATACTGGAAAACTGGAGAAAATGTTGGTATTGCTAACAAAAAACTCTTGTTTTTTCAACAGTACAAGGATTTCTAACTTAAATGAAAGAATATTTAAATTGACCTCTCTTAAAAGTTTTTTCTGCAAGATTGCTTTAAAGGAAACTTCTTAAATATAGTTTTTGGCCAGCATTTTGTCTTATGCATATTTGGCCTAATAATTATCCCAATAACTACATGGTGTGTTTATTTATATAACAACTTTCTGTTTTGGAGAGAACATACTTTACAACATTAAATATCATTGACGTTAAACATTGTTAAAGCAGTAAAGTGCTAATCTAAAATACAATTAATTTTATAATGAGAACAACCTGTAATTTAATTTTAGAAAACTTTCTCATGTTATATCTGTGGGTTTGGGGTGATTTATGTAGAGTTGATATGATGATGATGACTGTTTTCATAACAACTCCAGTCTTCCAAGTATGTAGTTGATATTCATGTAGCCTGGAGGAGCTGGATGTGCAGTGTCCCTTCATTGTCCTTTTGTCCTTTGTATGCCACAACGACCACAAAAGTCATGTACAAACTTGTGGGAAGTTTCTATCCAAGAGGGACTGGAGTCTGTTCTGATCTGGAGCCAGTTCTGCTGGAAAGAACCTAACTTTCCAGAAACAGGCAAGGCGAGGGAACAGCAAGTGCTCCAGGAGGTGACCTTCCTCTTGCATTCTGAAATTATCAGAATAATCTCGTCTCCTGTAACATTTGTAGTGTGCCTGATGCTTCAAGTCTCTTTTAAGGGAGTAAACTCATTCTTCTTCAGGAACTTTATAAAAAGTGTTAGAAAAGGGAATTATTTTTTGCTAATTAAATCTGGAATTTGCGTTATTTTAGCAGAGTTATTCTAGGCTGAAATTATGGTTTCAAAACAACACAGTTGAAGGGGTGAGTGGGTTTGCTTGACAACTCCCCCTCCCAGTCCTGAAAACCTTCTCACTTAGGTAATTTTCAGCTTCACTGGGAGTACTGTGAAATACTTAGCTCCTGAAATCCCCGAGAACAGAGTAGAGGATCTCACTGACAAGTATAGAAAGAGGTGAGGGCTTGAGAAACAGCTGTGACAGGCAATAGCAATTCATTGATCCTAACCAACCAATTCTTGTTGCTATGTAAGAGCCGTAAGGTATATATGTTATATATATATGGATGTTAGAGTCCAGCTGTTTGCCATATGGTCCTCAGTCCAGGAAAAGAAGTGTGTGCCTGACTTGAAGTTGATTTCTGAACTCAGTTATGCACTTGCTTATAATCACATCCAAATGTCAAGGTGTTAGGGTATAACCCTCATATTTTATCTTTTGAATGAAAAGTACAATATGTATTGGTGATGAGTTACATATGGTAATGAAGTTACTTGGCAAATCCACACATTTAAATCATTTAACTGTAAGTGGAGCCTAATTTATGTGATAAATTTATGTTTCTGAAACGTATATACATTTAGTTACAACTGGAGTGGCTCAATTGTAGTCTGGAATATTATGTTCACGTGCATGTGAACTGAGTGGTGAGGGGTGAGGTCAGTCACTTTTCCTGATAATAAGATTGTTGACCCCTGTTTAGACACTGGGTAGCAATGATCATAAAGCAAAACCAGAATCCAGTGGAGGTGCTCAAAGTGCTAGAATTGTGTGATTGTGGTGGGGAATGTTACACTGCCAAGCCTTTCCAGGCTACTTTGGCCATAGACAAAGGGTAGAGAAGATGGTCCGACTTTTCTGCTGCATTTGTAGAGGCAAAGAACCAGAAGTAGGAAGGCGCGACTCAAGCCATTGAAAGAAGAGGATGGCGATACGTGTGCCCACATGCACTCACACGCTGAAGTGGTGACTGGTAATAGAACAGTATGGCCTGGAGCACAAGTCTGATGGGGAGCGGCTGAGGGAGCTGGGGGTGTTTAGCTTGGAGAAAAGGAGGCCGAGGGGAGACCTGATCGCTCTCTACAACTCCCTGAAAGGAGGGTGTAGCCAGGTGGAGGTTGGTCTCTTCTCCCCAGTAACTAGCGATAGGACAAGAGGAAATGGTCTAAAGTTGCACCAGGGGAGGTTCAGGTTGGATATTAGGAAGAATTTCTTCACTGTAAGAGTCGTTAAGCATTGGAACGGGCTCCCCAGGGAGGTGGTGGAGTCACCATCCCTGGAGGTGTTCAAAAAATGTTTAGATGTGGCGCTTTGAGACATGGTTTAGTGTATTTAGAGGGTATGGTGGTATTGGGTATACGGTTGGACTTAATGATCTTTGAGGTCTCTTCCAACCATAACGATTCTATGATTCTATGGTTTCACTTGTTTTCGGGGAGAAGAGGGGACTGCTTGCTGGCATATGTTATTTTGTTCTGTGAGTGATAGAGGCCACCTTGTGTCAGCCTAAGGCTCTGTCTACAGCACCATGCAGCCCTGTGCTGCACAGCTGCACCAGCTCAGGTTCCAGGAAAAAAAAACAATGGAGTTTGCACAGGTTTGCACTGAGGTGAACTGGCCTTATATCTCAGTAAGCGAGGTGGATCCATCGTACCTTTTGCCCTCAGATACTCCCTATTGTTTTTACTCACTGCAGTCCAACCATCTTGTCCTATTTTTTCCATTTCTCTGGAACGTCCTATGACTCCTAATTTTGTTTTTTTCAGCTGCTGTTGACTGGCTAGCTGAATTTTTCAATTGCGGGCCAGAAGCTTAGAGGGAACCTGGGTGGGTAGCACTTGAACCAAGAAGTAAGGAAGCAGAACAAATGGCTTCGCTGAGTCTGGTGAAACAGGAACCTGGGACCGAGAGACGGAAGGCTAGATTGGATTGTCATAGAAACTGAGACTGGTGCCAGTGATGCTGAAACTGGAGGAAAAGCAATACAGGAGCTGGGTAGCTCAAGAGCAAAGAGAAGCAGACTTCAGCAGGAAGGACAAAGAAAAAAGGACTAGCCGGTTTTGGAGATCAGAAGGGGGATATAGGCACAAAGAGTTGGAACTGTGGGACAGCTGAAAATGGTGAAGAAGCTCAGAGAGCCACTGGGAGGAAGAAGGGGTAGGAGATGACAGATGGAAGCTAGGGGAAAGAGAAAGCATGGAATTTATGACGGGAGAAGGAACCTTTCACCCGTAGGCAACTGGTTTGAATCTTGTCCAAGTCAATAGTGAAGAAGAAGAAGTAATGACTGTGGGGAGATACAAAAGGAGCTGTTGGTCTCAGTCCAGTTCTTAGCAAACGGATGTCAGCATCACTGCTGGAGTTAGCACAGCTGGAAGGCTTGCTGGCGCTCAGTAGAGAAACCACAGGCTGGTTGAAAAGGGAGGCAAGGCTAAGGCAAGAGGGAGGCCCATGAGAGGGACTATTAGATTGTGTTCTCAAGCCTGCCACTTTCTTGTCATATAACACTGTGAAAGTTTAAGTGAGAACTTGCAGGTGTTCCAGGTTTCTTTGTGCTGGTTTGGCCACTTGTTAAATGAGTGTTAGACCTTGCTCTCATTTAAAAGTTAGACTAGCCTTTATATCCCATAAATTCCCATGGGATGGGGTGAGCTGATCTTAACAGCCCATTGCTAACAAACCACCTCCAGTTCTGCTCCCGCCGTCCGCCTTAGCCATTCAGCTTGCTCCTGCCAGCTCTAGTTGTCCTT